TGACGAAATAGAACAAACAGATGAAATATTAGAATCTTTAAGTCAAACAGAACGAATATTAACACAGTTATATAAAAAAATTCATACTATAGGAAAAGGTTCGAAAGCTTTGCTAGTGCTAGTACCACGAGACATTTAAAAATTTATAAATACTTTAATATCGGAAAGATTTAAATATATAGATTCTTTCAATAATTTTTTTTTCTAACACCACTGGCACCGATGAATGGTTAAATGGCTGTTATGTCCAAAGAAGGTATTCGAAGGAGTGTGTTGCAAAATTCCCTGCATTAATTGGAAGTTCTAGACTACGCAAGCATATTGCCACTATGATGCAATTAATGGATTTACGAGACAACTAGAAAAGGGAGAACTTATTAGCTGCAAGAACAAATGTAGGGACGATATTGATATTGAGTTTGATGAACCAGAGGTGTCAAATTCTTCCTGTGGAAGATGAGGAATTAAAGACGCCTAACAATATCAGTATTTCTATTTCTTCAAATGGTAAGTTATTTGCTATTTCATTCTTTTTCGTTTCTTGTCTCTCCTGTATTAGTATTCGAGAAGAGTAAAACTTACTAAAAAAGATGTAAACATAATCAGAAATATTTTTTTTTATTTAAAACCTAGCTCTAACAATGACTCTTGTATATTTCATACATAGGAACACCTGAAATTCCCGAAAAACATTTATTGTGAGTCTCCAGAAATATCCACAGCTCCCATAGAATGTGAATCGCTTAAGGAAATTCACAATAATTATCCGGTTAGAAATAAACACCGATGAAATCAAATTGTACCATCTTCTGATTAGGAAGAAACATCTGAAAATATCCTCCAAAACAAAAGACCACGCCAATCAGAGAAAAAGAAGTGGACATCAACTGAGACAGACATATTAAAAACACATTTTGAAAAATATTTAAACAATAATTATTTATACCTGTCTGGAGCTAAAATAATGTCTTTTACAAAAAATTATTTAATTAAAAGAACTGTCGCCCAAATAAAGAGTAAGTTACAGCAATTAAAACGACAAGCAAAACCAAATTTCTTTGGCCAGTGATTTTACTTTTTGTTTTAAATGATATTCTTCATTTAGTTTTAAAGGATCTTTATTAACAGTATAATCTTGAGCCTATTTCACGTTAGGACGACAGGTCCATAACACGTTTTTTTTTATTAGAAATATAAAAACTATGACCACAATCAGCTGAATCATCTAAATCATCAGAATCAACTGAGTCTAAGTTTGTTTTATAATCTTTTAAATAACCTGGTGGTTTACGTAGCCTTTTAGATGCTTCAGCTTGATTTGATATTTCTTCAACCTGTTGTAGTTCACTATCAGGGTCTAAATCTATATCAGTCACAATATTGTCATTATCATTGGTAACACTTATAACAGAATTCAATGCATTGTCATTAACATTTTGATTATGATTAATAGGATTTACAGCAGGAATGTCCAATAGAATGTTATTTAAGTCATCACTTTCTTCACTTATATTTAGATTAAGATCATATAATAATGAATTATTAACATATGGTATGGTTGTTTTGTTTAAATACTTTCTATTACGTCTAAGCACTGTACCATTAGAATCTTTAATTATATACGACATCTATTGCGGTAAACTAAGTTCGTTAATGATTAACTGATGATAAATTCTGGTAAAACCTCGTTTTTCAAAATTTTATTGTAGGATAAGAGGTCCTGCTTTTCTTATTATGTTACATAAGAGGAATTGCCTATTGCATATTGTGAAATTGGATAAATGATTTGGTATTCAAAAAAACAATTTATTAAAAAAAAATAATACAAAAACATAATTTCTAAAATAATGAATTCAAAAAATAAAAATTAATAACGTCTTCTTAACTGGGATAAAATGCTTATTACTTATTTGAACGGTAATAGATCATAAAATGATCAGCAGTCTTGGGGAATAATTTTTTTTATTTCTTGTAGATCCAAATATTTCCTTTCTGTAATTGGTATACGCAATTAATATAACTGTGGAAACATTGCATTCTTCAGATTTATTTTGGACGGTCTCGTTGATATAACTTGATATTCATCGTCAGAATAATTAATTTTGTATGAAATTTCATAATTTTCATATTTCAGAATCCGAATATCAGTAATCGTAAAACCGTCTGATGGTCTAATTGATTTATATTTTAGTAATGGTTTATGCCCAAAATTTTTGAAATATTGATACGGTTTGGTTCTAACTTCGTATGGGTTCTTTATTCTTACTTCTTTGGTAATTCGATGGTAATCGCTTGGTAGGTAAATTTCTTTATGCTTTAAAGCTTTCTCGATTACGGCATGGACGGAGTCACACTCCATCTGAGTGTGGCCTTTTTCCAAAAATTTTTGATAAATTATCGTTTCATACTTTTCTGAAACGTAAAGTAGTGCGTTGGAGAGAATAGAGTTCCTATTCTGCGCTGTGCAGCCATCCGAGTATATGACAATTGGATTTTTATTTCCTGATTGTAAAAAATTATCTTCTAGGTAATCAATTAAAAACGGTTGGGGGAAAATATATAGAATTACAAAATATCGAAACGACACATTTTCGAAAACGAAATATAGACATCACAAAATATCGAAAACACAAAAAATCGGCAACAAGTAATATCGCCAGTACATAATATCGAAAACAAGAAATGTCGAGATAATATAACATCGAAACTACAATTTATCGAAACTACTTAATATCGATGTACAAAATAACGACACAGCATAATGCCGAATAAATAAAATATCGACATTACATAATTTAGATTATGTAAATATATCGAAAAATCTGTTTCAAAGCCAAAAACATCAATTTTCCTGTAACGCCTAGTAATAAATAACTCTCTTTAATGAATTAAATATAATGTACTTAATGCAAAATAACAAATTACCGAAATTACAAAATATCGAAAGTGCAAACTAGTACCTACATCAAAGAATACCATTCTGTGCCTACATAACAAAATTTCGTTTGTTGTCAACAACAATCATTAAACAAAATTTCTGTTTGTTTGATTTGTCTGACTGACATTTGGAAATAATCAAAAAGTGGGTGTGTTGTGCACAAAGAGGTTAAAAATGGAAAAAGACTGCGATTTTGAATACTTAGAGAGCAATAAAGGCGGAAAAATATTATATTCCAATGGATATTACTATACCAAAGAAAAATCTGTGAGTACAAAAATATATTGGAAATGCCAGAATTGGACTAGCTTTTGCAGAGGCAGAGGTACACTAGTTTCAAACACCTTTTCACGGACCGCTGATCACAATCACGAAGGAAATCCTGTTAAAGTTGAGGTCAAGAAAAAAATGAGTCAAATAAAGGAAAAAGCACTAGCCAGCAATGATGCTCCTCAAGTTATTGTCTCAAGTGTAATGTCAGATGTAAGTGGCGAGGCTAGTACTTCGTGTCCGTCGATAAGTAGTATCAGGAGAACTATCAGTCACATTCGAAAAAAAAAGTATTCCCACTACTCAATCCCAAAGGATCTGGAAGATTTAGTTATCCCCCAAAAATACCGAAAAACTGGGAAAAACGAGGAATTTATATTATATGACAGTAATGACAAACAGAGAGTAATTATTATGGGAACAAAACAAAATCTAAATTTTTTAGAACGAAGTACTAAATGGTATATTGACGGAACTTTTAAAACTGTGCCTGAATTATTCCACCAATTGCTGACGATACATGGCGATATAGAAGGTATTGTTTATCCTTTAATATACTGTTTATTACCCAATAAAATGGAGAGAACATATATTAAAATATTTGAAAAAGTTCGAGAATTTATTAAAAATCCAAAAGTATCCCTTATTCTAATGGATTTTGAAATAGCCTTAATAAATGCTACGAATTTGCTTTTCCCAATAGCTGATAAACAGGGATGCTATTTTCATTTTCGGCAGGCACTTTACCGACGTATTTGTTCTTCGGGTTTAAAAAGAAAATACGATACAGATAAAGATTTCAACAAACAAATTAAATTTCTAATCTCGCTTGCCTTTGTTCCTGAAGATTTAGTACTAACTGCATTTAATGTAATAGAAAAATCCGGAATCCTGACGGATCATACTCAACAATTCTGTAGCTACTTTAAAAAGAACTGGATGGGAATTCAAGATGATAATAAAAAGAAACATGCATCGTTTTCGTTTCACTTATGGAACTATTTTAATCGTACCCTAAACGAAGAGCCAAGAACTAATAATTTTAGCGAGTCCTGGCACAGTGCTTTAAAAAAACAAGTTCAATCTAAACATCCGTCTATTTGGAAATTTTTCGAGTTTATGTTAGATCAACAAAGTATGCAAGAACTTCAAATTAACCAACAGTTAACTGGCTGCGAAAAATCACTCAAGAAGAAAAAATATAACGACAAAAATAAAAGACTTGCTACTGTGGTTCAATCATTTGCTCGAGATAAATGTACAGATACATACTTGTTAGATTATTTGAAAGCTATTACCCTTACTCTGTAACGACATTAATTGAATAATTTGTTATTTGATATTTAAGCACTTTTTTTCATCTCGATGTTATCTAGTGTAGTGTACTCCATCTTTTTGGTATTTATGTACTGATATTTTGTGTTTCCGATGTTTATGTTGTATCGTGGTTGTTGTTGACAATAAACGAAATTTTGTAATTTCGACGTTTTGTACTTTCGACATTTTGTTGTTTCGATAATTAGTTATGCTGCATTTCGTATTTTCGATATTATAGAGTGTCGATATTATGTGTTATCCTTTAAATGTAGTTTCGATATTATGTATTTTCGAGATTTGGTGATTTCGATATTTTGTAATATCGATGTTTTGTAGTTTTTTCAACATTATGTACTTTCGATATTTTGTTCATCGATATTTTGTAATTCGATATATTTTCCCCCAACCATTAAAAACGATGCGTATGTAGCTGCTTGTCCATCTGCATTCGTCTCATTGTACCAGTAGCACGAAGCTTTATGGTTTTCTAAGTTATAAATTGTGAAACTGTGATTACATAATTTCGTTCTATAATACAACGAACTTGCAGCTAAAGATGGTTATTACATTAGCCGTTCCATTAACCGTCCTATCTTTATCACGCTGCTTTTCTTCTCTAGCTGAGTCTTTTTTTCTTATGTGTGCTTGGTAATCTTCTTCAGACATATTGTTGTTTCTATACTTAAAACAAAGATCGCACAAATCTTTACGTGGGCGAAATAAAGACAATTTTATATCATTTGCTATTTTTTGTAATGACGTAATTGACTGAGGCATTCTATTGTTTTCTATGCATTTCTTCGAATATTCTCTATGTAATTCAGCGAATGACTGAAACTGCTGTTCTAGATATAATCTGTCTGTGTCTTTGCTACAGTAATGAGAAGGAAGCGTATTTAAAGCCTTCAAAAAGTTCTTTAAAAACACGGTATCCTCTTCGTGATAATTTTTTATTGAGCTTCTTTTGGACAGAACTACAGAATTATTCTCAGTTAATCCGTTAATGCTATGAAGATACCAGATTCTTACGGACCATTCTTTTAATCCAATTGTGTTCAAATACATTTTCTTACAGACAGGTATCCTTTCATGGTCCACTGTTAATGAGTAATCGAGGGTATTACTACGTCTAGACTTTTCCTCAGTCTTTGATGGCCTTTTTGTTTACATAGACGTTACATATTAGGCTTGTAACAATCATTTTCACGATTGTTACAATTTCGTTCGAAATTCAATAACTAACACGTTAAAATATAATAAACTACACAACCTAAATTAAATTAAGATATTTTGATAATGTTAACTTAAGATTTACTTAACTAAATCAGTATTTAAAAATAAATATATAAAATTTCACAAAGGTTATCAATTACATGACTATGTAATTATGGAGCGCCCCTCGTAATCATTTCCTGTGAGTAGTTCAAATGAAACATTTAAATAGGTTTAACTAGCTGCACCGAAGGTGCGAGTGGTGTGTAGCGTATCGTAGGTTAGCTTTGTCTCTGTCTGATTCATAGTGCTGCGATGTAACTAGTCGTGTCAGGAGAAGGTTCCATGACGTTTCTGAACAGAACCTAGTCAACTGTCAATTTGTCAAAGATGGGTGATTTTGAAGTTTGGAAGGTGTCTTTTGGTTTCTTGATTGTTTTTGTGATGTTTTTTTGGGAACTCCAAAATTATTTAAGACAGAAACAGCGTACCGGGAGGCCTTTTTGCCTGCGTCTTTGAGAGAAGCATTTGCGAATATTATAGTTCATGTGATTTTGTTACAAATAAGTTCCGGTACAATTATAGAGTTGAAATAAAATATCCTGATATCAGTAGAATTCATTAGAAAAGAGAGAAGACAATCCTAAGCCGTCCATCAGGTAATAACACGTTTTCTTTTGTTGAGTTTTTTTGGTATTGAGGGAATGGTTTTTTCGAATTACAGGCTTTTTTTTGTTGGGCTGGAAGTACGAGTCTTGTGGGAGATATATTTCTGAATTACCCCGTGAAGAGGTACGAGGCTGTAATTGAATCTGTGGTCATTCTAACACGTGTTGTGCTGGACGCTGAAGACAAGGATAAGTTTCCCGTCCTGGACAAGAACTCATCGAGACGTGTCTGTCCTAAAGTTGCGGTGTGGTTACTGGAATTTTTGCATCCCTAAGATAAGTTAAGTCTACTTTTCTTAATACTGATAAACTTTATAGTTTAATTTAAAATTTCCATGCTCAACAAGTAATTAAGTTGACATATTTTATTCAACCAACAATCCTGGACTTTTAGACCAGTCCAAATATTCTAAAAATGTACCTGCTAATATTGCAGGGTAATGGGCCAGTTGTACTAATTTAATTTTGTATATAATTATGTAAATTGTTGCTTAAACTGTTCTTGAAGATAAGGCCATATAATGCCATTATTGAATATATTCTTTTTGTATATAATTATGTAATTTTTTTGCTTAAATTCTTCCTGAAGGTAAGGCTATATAGTGCCATTATTGAATATATCTTTTTTTGTATATAATTTTGTAATTTTTTGCTTGAATTCTTTTGAAGGTAAGGCCTTATAGTGCCGTTATTGAAATTATCTTTTGTATATAATTACGTAATCTTTGTGCTTAAATTTCCCATGAAATTAGGGCCATATAGTGCCGTTATTGAAATTATTCTTTTATGGAATTATTTAGTTTCACATAAATTTCATATTGAGGACATGGCATTATCGAGTCACTTATTTGGCAGTCATCCATTTTGTAATATAGTTTTTTATTAATTAGTGAGGTTGGCAGTCAGCCATTTTGGAATATAGTTCCTAAAAGTAGTAGTAACCCCAAAAGGGAAGAGTATAAGATTTGAAACTTCAGGAAGTGTTATAATTTATTTAAATATGGTTAGTAAAATAAGATTTGAAACTTCAGGAAGTGCTTATATCATTTTGATAATCATAAGAGTAGAAAAGTTTATTTCTCAAGTTTTACCTACATCATTAAGTATAGTTTTTTGTAAATATTAAGGATGTCAAGTACTAACAATTACTTGCATTGGTTAAGAAAATAGTTTTGTAAATAGATTATGTAAATATTATAAGATGTCAGGTACAAACCATGACTTGCATTGGCTAATAAAATATTTGGTGTAAATATGGTGATTAAAGTTAAAATATATTAGAAAATTTCTAGTTTTCTTGGTTCCAATTATGGGATCTGGCGCCTTCTTTACCCACGACCCTTGCCTCCTTAAGAGCTGACTAGTCGAGCATAACATCAAATCTTGCATACTAAAATAATAATAAATAAAAGTAATTATTATAGGCTACAAAAATCTTTCTTTGATCCCAAGACAAATCGGACAAAAACTTGCTAAAAATAGCCTTTCTTTTTTGTTCTGTTATTAAGTGACACCTTCTTTTTGTTTGGATTTTATTGTTTTCAGTACATTTACAACGTGGTCCCAAAATTCTTTCATTTCGTGCTTTGTCATAGAAAAAGTTTTTTTAACCGGGTGGCTTCCTGAATCCTAAATAATTCTTACCACTCATTCGAAGTTTTTGGGTAACTTTACGTTTTCTAATACCTTTAATTTTCTTCTTTACATTGGGCTCATTTATAAGTTCTTTTTCTTTACTCTCTAGGTTAATAGGATTATCTGTATTTTGATTATTTGACTGTAGGTTGTGCGTACTTTCAATGTCCATCAAATTTTCATCTGTCACTTGCTAAGTCAGCTTCATACGGCTTATAATCTGGATCATCGTCCTCACTTTCATTGTTCTCATCCATTATATATATTTACAAACGATTAGTAGGCTACTAATATATCGTCGCTATTCTTCATTTTCATTTTCATTTTTACAGTAGAAGCAAAAAACTATTTTTTTATAAATTGATAAGGCTTTGAAAGTTTTATTTTGATGGGGTATTTAATAAGGTCCTAAAAGAAGGTTCAACGTAAGAAAAAATTTAAAAAAGAAAAAAGTTTTAGATTATATAGGGTTTGAGGTAAAGATGCGAGGAATAGACTATTCATTTTGTTTTTTTTTGTGAGATACGAGGTCTACTATTTTGAAACAAAAAGACCAATAATTAAAAGAATAATCTTTTATTTTTGAAATAAAGTCACAACGTACAGAAAATTAATTTTGCAATTAAAACAGTATTTTTAGTAATTTAAATTTAATAATATATTTAAAAAAAAATAAACTTAAAAACTCTTTCGTCCAAACTTATTACATTACATAAAAACATTAACCCATTGGCATTTTAATTAGTGGTATGAGGTAAGGCGTCATAGAACGCATGGTAATCCTTTAGGATTATTGGCTTAAGAGATTGAAGACTATCATATTTTGACTTACTAATAGGTTGTGGCGCCGAATACAAGGGTTTAGGCAGGCCATTCGATTTATTTTTGCGTTGTGGCAGAGCTTGCCAATCCGCATTAAAATCAGTTTTATATTGAAGGTCATTTTCTGCACTATACCTTAGAGCGCGAATATCATTTACCACAGGATCTCCAGCTTTTTTCCCTGGACGAATAGAGTTATAATAAGAAATGTCCGAATAGTTTATAAAAAAATTGTAATCTACGTATTTAACATTATATGGACCTGGAGAACCAATTCTGGACTGCTTGATTAATTCAACAAAATTAGCTGGAGCGTACAACTCTCTATTTTTCTTTCTTCGCTCTATGGTAGCGTGAACGCTGTCACACTCCATTTGAGTGTGACCTTTAACAAGAAATTTCTGGGTAATTAGAACATTCTTTGTATTAACGTAATATTGCAATGCATTTGCCAATATCGTATTTCTGTTCTGAGCATTGCATCCATCGGTGAATAAGATAACTTCCTGTCTTTCTTGATCAGACAATTCTTTATCTAAAAAATCTAATAAACATGACGCAAAATTGTTTGCTTCTGAGCCTCCATTACACTCATGCCAAACATAACATACCACTTTTTTGGTTACAAGATTGCAAATCGTATAATTTCTGCAAACAAGTTTTTGTTTGAAATAAATACTACTAGCAGGAGTGAAAGGTACTAGTTGAATTGATTGAACATCTGCAGTTAAAAGAGTAAACTTTCCATTAAGAGCTTCTACTTTGTCTTGAACTTTTTCCGCCCGAGCTCGATCTTTTTGAGCAATATGCTTTTCATAAATATCTAATGAAACTGCATTTAATTTTTGAGATACACATAGATCGCATTGATCTTTTTTTGGCTGAAACAGCCCCAGATTCATTTCTTGAAATAACATTCTAAATCTCCCATTACCTAAGACTTCTTTAATATCATTTTCCTTACAGTACGTTATATATACCCGATAAAGATCGGCGTAAGATTGGTAGAGTGGTTCGAGATAGGATTTGCTTGAAGAACTTCGGGCATAGTGGGACGGCATTTTGGGAAGTTGCAATAAAAATGTTCTAGCTGAGTCAGTTTTGGCTGAATTTTTGTTTGTCTTACTAATCTCTTTTTCGGATTCAACTTCATTGTTGGAAATATTAACTTCTCCAATAATCTTTTTACTTGTAACCCAGGACCGCACTGACCATTCCTTTATATTGAAAGTGGAGAGAAACATTTTTTTGCAAACTGGCAGAAAATCCTCATTTACCTTAACTGAATATCCTAGGGTAAATCTTCTCCTCGATTTTTTTTTGGTTGTTTTTTGGACTACAGATATGCACGATATAAGTGTTTTTATGTAAGCTTTTCTTCCATTCCAGTCAAGTTCGTTCCAAAAATAGCTGAATAATAGTTTTCGATCTTCATCATTTAATAAATTACATTTTCTTAATTTACTCCTGGCACACGTTTTTGAATCACATCGAGGACCCATTTTACGAGCATTCATACTTCTTTTCGTTTGGCTAACATACTCTTGTCCCTTTTCCCTAAGTACTTGATTCTTTCGTCTGCTCCACAGTTCTTTATTGGCCTGGCCTTTTCTGGATCGTATTCTTTTTACTTTTTTTCCTTCAGAATTATTTTCTTTATTATCTTCTTTGATCTCAAAGTCGCTCTCTGGAGAAGAAGAACCATTATTACTTGGTCTGTAGCTAGATTCAGATTCTTGATAGTCTTCAAAATCACTTAGATTATTTGAACCAATTTCGGGTACAGCATCATGTTTA